GACTAAGATGCTGAAGGTATTTCTGTGTTCTTCTGAAACATCAGTGTTGCACAATAATACTCACAAAGGCATTGAGATAATGGAGTATGAGCCTCAGACAGGGGATACTGGGCCCTCAAGCTTTTATGGGGCCATTTGTTGCAGTTGTTCTTATGTCCTGTCCTTAAAATTAGAAAGCTGTTCTTATCCATGCTAATGATTCCATGCAAAAAATTTTGACTGGCTTTGTGTTCATGTATGCAGAGAATCAACTGTCTCTTCTATGAAAACCAGTACCCATATTTGTAGATGATTATGCCCCATCTCATCAGCTCCTATTTAAGMTCCTGCTGGTTCATTCTTGGCCCAAGTAAAACAGTCCTGGACTCAGTGCTTTGCCCTGAGCTCTTTCTAACTAGTTTTGTAATCCACAGGTGTCTGAACTGAGGTCCCAAGACTTTAGTGAAATTCATACAACATGATTTAATTTTAGGACAAAACACTCCATACTTAATAATAYAATATTCTCTTGAAGTGACAGCTTTCCCCTCCTCCCCCTCAACTCAGTTTGTCTACATCCACTGACCTGTTTTCTTCATCCGCCTTTTCTTGTCCTGATGCACTGGCACTCCCTTCCTGTCTCTGTGCTCTCTAGAAATTTAGCCACTTAATCAGTCTAATGTTGTGTCCAGCATGTTTCTACATTCTACGCCCTGCATCTTTTTGCATGGGATGGTTTTATCTAAGCATCACTGTGAGACCTTCTAACAGTCGCTTTGGGAATTAAACCCTTTCTGTAAGTAATAAAAATTAATCTAATGATTTTCTCTGTGCAGTACAGTTGAAAGTGATTTAAAATGTTTTCAAACAGACAAAAGGCAAATGTGAGCTGTGATGACAAAGGGTTATGAGCAGTGAGCAGTGCTGTGATTGATGCCTGTCCAAAGGAAGGGTATCCTCACTCTCTGGCAGAGACTCACAAGGTTKAAGTGTGTGAGTATTTGTTGGTTTGGGAATGTAAATTATCTGAGGAAGAAGTGAAAAGAATCTGCAAAGAAGGTTAAGTGGAGTTTCAGGTAGTGCCCGGTAGCATCCAGCATGGCCCTGGTTACTCCAATACTGTTGTTTGTTTTCACAAACCAGCACCTCACAGCTTTGGAGCGGGTGACCGCTGTGAGAAGACCRTAACCTCTTGATTTCAAAGGAGCCATCGTTTCACTGGTGCCTCTGTGGTTAATGTAAGAAAGGTGTCTTGCCATAAACTTTTTCCGAGGTATTCAGCAAGGTTGGGAAGGGGTCGGCCCGGGCAGGAAGCCCTTGTCTGTGCTATAAAGAAAATAGCAAGCAACAAAATGAAAGCATCAAAGGACCAACAGGATGCRGTCCCAGGAGTCTTCTCTGGCATGTTAGTCCTTCTTGAAAGTTAGCATTGAGTGAAGAGTGACCTTAAAACTCGCTTCATTCAAACAGACTGAGCTCAAGTTTAAAGTTCAAGGCATTTTGTTTTTTCACCTGTTTCCTACAGTTTTTAAGAAACTTCTGAAGAATTAATGTGTAACTATATCTGGTCACAGAGCCAATGCAGAGAATTTTTCTCAAGGGAAAATAATGTTACTGTATGGAGTGAGAGAAATGGATACTTTCTGAGTTSGGTTTTATTTTGCTGAAACTTTTTTGCCCAAACCCACTGTGACCATGATTGCAAACAGCCCTGGAGCTGGTGTAATGCAGGCCATGCTTTATTTTTGAAAGAAGCTGCTAGGGTCCTGTAATGGTCTGAATTGTGCTGAAAAAAAAGGTGATTTTTTTTGCCAAAGCTGCTGCTGCCACTTGGGAAGCAAGGTTTTGGGCACAACGTGGGAGCAAAGAGCCTGGTTGCAGGTTCATCTGTGAGTGCATGGTGAGTGAGCCAGCAGCAGACCCCATGGGTGCCCACTGTCTCACTGTGCTGGAGCTCGAGAGGGAAAGCCCTGACCCAGAACTGCATTGGAGGGTGAGGGTGGATGTGGACACAGTGCTGCTGCCCTGCCAGCGCTAATGCCAGTGCCAGTTGTGGGCCCCTTTTGACCCAGCAACACCTACCTGTGGGATCCTGAAATRCTTCCTGTATTTTCTGATCCTTACATCTCACCTTACGAAGCAACTAGTAACTGATCCCACAAGCAATCTGGCAGGTCATCTTCCATAGCTAAAAGAAATAGTTTGCAGAGATGACATACAAATTTCACTCATGTTTCCCCATGCCATTAAATTTTAATGATTGTGGCATGAATATTTCATGAAAGTACTTTCTGAATGGGTTTGTTTTGTCCTGGCAGCTGATACTCTGTATAAGTTTGGGCGGGTTTTGTTTGGTTTTTGGTGGGTTTTCTTTTCCTCTCAGGTGGTTTAGTGAAGGTAAGAAGTGTCAAACTGGATTAAGTGAGAAAAGGCAACTTCTGTTGGTGGTTCAGAGAGGGGGTGCTGTCTATAACTCGTTTCAGCTGCRTAGTGGAAGCCTGTGAAATGACCCTCAAATACAATTATGCTCTGTGCTTTCCTGCCACAAGGTGGCTAAAACAGTTTTGAAAGCCCAGGATTTGCGAGTGCTTTAAGTGATGCTAATACATCTACAGCCTTTCTGCAGCGCAACACACAGCACACAGGAGACCAGATTTATTGTGCAGAAAATTGTGTATGTCTTATTTATATGGAGCAGCGATCAGAAAACGTTATTACTAAGTTTTTTCAATCCCTCCTCAGCTGGAGGGCTGGGCTTGGCTTTGTTGTTGGGGTTTTTTTTTAATAGAAGAGGTCGTCATGCCCAGTCCATGCAGCGTGAGTGACAGGGCCACTGCAGGACACAGCAGTGCCACAGGGAGCTCAGTGTCCACCTGCCCACGAGCCACAGCTCCACAAGGACATCCTCACACTCCACACAAACTGTGGCTGAAACTTGAGCTTCCCACTCCATCTCCATTTGTACTGCCTGCTGAATCCATCTACTCAAAGGCTAAATCAGAAACAGTTGTCCAAACCTGGGTTAGCAAAGTCCTTTGTTGCTGTTGAATTCTGTGSGCCCTGCACTGGGATGATGGGTGCCTTTCTGTAAATGGGTGATGTTTCCAAACAGCCAGCTGCTGTGTCATCAGAAATGGGAAGTTGTTTTCACCAATTTCAGGAATGGTGACAGTCTTCTCYGCAAACTTTCTGGAAGCTTTATCTCCAGCTGTACAGTAGGGACAGGGCTTTTGTTTAATGGAAATGAAGCGTATCTTTTTCTTACAGATGCACCACTCACTATAGAGCTTTTTATGTGCGTTTTAGGTTTCCCTTTTTATTTTTTAACTTATTAACTCTGACAAGTAACCTCTTGGTTGTGAACAATTTAATTCACGATTCATTTTTCTGATTCAAAGTGAACACGAGTGCCCTAATCCCCTAATGGGAATTAATTGCATGTTTCAATGCTTAACTCTGATCCTTTCTCAATCCCCACTGGGACAAGTTTCTTCCTGAAGGATCTGTGTTTGTTATTCAAAACACAATCTGAAAGGTAATGATTTTTCTTATAAAAGAGTCTCAGGCCAACTGAATATTAATGCTCTTTTTATTGTGAGGGAATGAGCTGCATCCAAGAAAAAAACTCGTTTGTGTCATGAAGGATAAATTACTCTGAAGTATATCTGATAAAATATGGGGAAAAAATCAGGGCGCCCTTTTTCCCCTAAGTGAAAGCCGTTTGCCAGTAAAGAAAGGCACACACTTGGAAAGCTGTATTTTGCTTGGAAAGCTGTATTTTGCTTGGAAAGCTGTATTTTGATACAGAGAAAAACTGTTTACTTCACCAAAGGGGAAATTGCTTGGCTACTGAGGATTTTTAAATAACACTGCTCTTGGCCAGCAACTCACCCTTTTGGATAACCGACTGATCTAACAGTTTACTAAAATAAAAGTAAATAGCTGAAAATAGATTAAATTYCTACCTCCAGTCTGTTTTTAAAGATTTCTCAAACTTGAAATACATTGTTTAATGACACTTTCCATGAGAAGCTTCTCTGATGGGCTTTTTTGGGCTTCTCTGATGTTGGATGTCTGGCCAGATGACTGTGGATGAGGCAGGCTCTGCCCAGTTAGTGACCACTGTTAAAATGTGAGAAAACATCACAGTGCAAGAATTGCATCTACCCTACAGAAATGATGGGGAATAAGCCAGGCAGTGGCTTTCACAGTGTGAAAACAATGAAGAACTATGAAGGTACCTTTCCCCCCTGTTACATTTCAGTAAAACCAGTCTTTTATCCCATTTAAACCAATTTTGAGTGTTTTGTGCTCACAGGTAAAACAAATGGTTGTTCGGGGTGTTCTCAAGAGCGGGCTCACACATGTGCAGACCGACTGTTTGAGAGGATTTAGCACTTTGGGGTGTCTGTCTGGGGAAGAGAGGAGGAGCACAGCCTTACCTGTTGTCCGTGCCAGCAGCCCTGGCTTCCAGTTTCTCTCTCTAGCCCCACCTTGCTGCTCAGCATTTGTCTGTCATTCAGCAAGCGGGACCTCGGTGCTGCGGTTGTTGCAAATCCATCCGCATGTCCATGAGATGTCTCAACACCAGGTTGCATGTCCATGAGATGTCTCAACACCAGGTTACACTTGTTTTTGGGGTGTCACTGAGCACGACACCACACATTTGATGCAGTACAGCTCCCATAACGATGAGAGAGAGAAAAATTAAGATTTAGAGCTTTTGCTGGGGGTCAGGGATGTGTTAGCTGATGTTGGGGATTCCTTAGAGAATGCAATTCGGTTACAGCAAAGAACTGCAAAAGGCTGCCTTTCTCCTGGTGTCTGTTTTTCACTGATGCAGTTTTTGTTTGAAAAGTTTCAAGATACTTGAATTGAGTATGATATTTAAATATGATGTAAGGCTACAAGACCACTTTTGCATTCACCTGAACAGCCTTTTGTGTAGGAGGTGCAGCTTTGGCAGGGCTGTGACCCTCCAGGCATTGGCCTTGTGGGTAACRTGCCCCTTTGTCTTTCAGCTGCTTTTGCAAGTACGATGGCCCGTGTCTTCGTCTACGGCACACTCAAGAAGGGCCAGCCCAACTACAAGCACATGATCAACACGGCCAAAGGGCTGGCRAAATTCCAAGGAAGAGGCCGCACGGTGGAGAAGTACCCGCTGGTGATTGCAGGGAAATACAACATTCCTTACATGCTGAACATCCCGGGGACGGGCCACCACGTCGCTGGGGAGATCTACTCCGTCGACGAGCAGATGCTGCAATTCCTGGATGAGTTCGAAGGCTGCCCAGACATGTACCAGCGCACCCTGATGAGAATCCAAGTGGTGGAGTGGGAAGGGAAGGGCAGCGCGGAGGAGGCGCGGGCAGCGGCCGACGGCGTCCTGGAGTGCTTCGTGTACAGCACGGCCACGTACCCGCCCGAGTGGGTCGGGCTCCCCTACTATGACAGTTACGACTCCTCGGGGAAGCACGGCCTCGCCTACGTCCTACGGGAAAGCCGGGAATAGAGACGGGAGGTAATGGGCCTGGTCAAACACATAGTGCTAAGCAGGTGTTGCTCGGTAACCTTTCCAGGAAAGCTGTAATACCTTTTTATTAAAATGCAGGATCCYTTGTAACCTTCCCAACCCAGGAGCCTTGGCACTAATGTTGAAGTTCTGTAGGCTCAGAGCTGGAGACTCCTCCCCAGGCAGTCAGTGTCCTCCTGGCCCCCCAACCTGCTGCAAGTAACTGGTTTGCACCAGGTGTGAAATAACTGGGTGTGCACAGCGGCTCTGGGGTCTAATTATTCCCTCAATTTCACCCTTTGCCTTAGCACATAATGGAGTGCAGAGGAGCCGATTAATTTTTCCCTTTTTTTTGCCTGAATTGATAAATTTTCTTGTGTAGTTTTCCAAGGTGGGTGGAGTAATGATACTATTGCACTGATATCTGAAACTGATTTAAAAAATATCTTCTGCAAAGTAAAGCACAACTCATGTTGAATATTGACTTGTAATGATGTTTAGAAGGCTACTGCATGTAAACAGGGAAAGCTGATCTTACAGATAACTTGGTGCTTCCAGACAAAAAGGGAAATTGCTGGAGAAAATGTAAAGATCATTCTTACTCTGCATTGCAATGGGCTTTTTTTCTGAACTGGAAAGGTGTATTTTTAAACCATGTTTAGTTTTACAAGGTACTGTCAAGAAATATTAAGAGAATATAAGAGAGTTACATTTAAAATGGTATTTTTAATTTAACATTCTGAGCACTTTGAGTTCTACTTCAGTTCACTGAATGACTGCAGAATTTTTAAATTTTTTTTTTTGGGGGGGAGGGGAGGTATGGGGGATGTGGGGGATGTTGGGGACCAGGAAAAGCAAACGTACACTGGAGCCGTTGAGAGCACTTACTGTCAAGCTGACTTTTTGCCAAGCACTTTAATACCGAACTTGCAACCATATGCAAACTGAGTTTCCTATTGGGGAAAAGATTTTACATACATTATATACATTATAAAAATATCTGAAGGACCTGTATTGTGATTATTGCCACATTTAATTTGGGAAAAAAAATATGTAAAGAAGASTATTGTCTCCCTGACCCAACCAACTGTGCTGATTTTTGTGCAATCTGGGAAAATCGTGGCTTTCTGTTGTTACACTCCTGTGCCTTGTACTTTYCTTCAGCTGCAGTGTTTGGTACAGATAGATTGTACAGTAGCCAAGGCTGCCAAAGGGATWGGAGCAGGCATTGTATGCCATGCAGTGAGCCAAAATACCACCAAATGCAGCAAGGATACAATTAAGAATGATATTGTACTTTTGCCTCACTGCCAGTAGCCCTGTGGTGGCCAGAGGAGATCCAGGGTAGGGAATCGGCCTAATCTTAGCAGTAGGCACTGCTGTTTAGAAAAGCTTTTATGTTGCTGCAGTAAGCAAAATAAATAACTTGACAGTAGAATACTTGTGTCTCTTTACCATACTTGTYTGTTTAGGGCAACCTGCAGAGACTGAACTGTGCTCCTTTGGGAAGGGGCAAGATGCAGTAAGGAGACTTGTAAGGAGATTTGCAGGATGTCTGCCTCAGTTTCTCCAATTTCAAAAGCATTTCTTTTCCTGGAAGGCAGGTACTATCCAAACAGTCTCCTTACTCATCTTGATGAGTTTTGTAAACTAATCCCTAAGCAGATCCCAGTACTATGTAACTCCCCCTTGGCTGTGTGATGGGGTTAATTAGCAGTGTCTCAGTAACACGAAGAATGTGTCTTCAGTTGGAAGTTCTGAGCAGAATCAAACTTTTCTGGTTGAACATGAGTCACCAGCCTGTCACAGTCTTCATCTTTCACCTTCCAGTAAAGGGCCCAGGCACCTCTGGCCACARYGTTTCTTTCTGGGAAGTGGCAKGACTCTGCACATCCTCGRCAAGAAAATGAGAGCAGGCCCGCTYCTCCCTGAGCAATCCCTTTGTCTCCCTTTCCTGTAAGAATGCAGGAGGAGGCCTGGTCTGAGGGACAACACATGCYCTTAGCAGTACCTTGGGGCGGCTAAAGAGGTCTGAGGATAGTGCCAGCTCCTTCTGTAAAGACTTGCATGCAGTGATCAATATCAAGAAGGGTGGGGAAATAGAGTATGAAGTTTGAATAAAAGAATTCCCTTACAACTTTAGATGAAAATACATGACAAAAGTCTGCACTAGTAAAATAAAGCCTCTAATTTGTAATTTAAACCTAGTCTATACAAAGTATTCAAAATATAATATCATTATTTTAAATGTATAATAAATAAATTCTATAATAATTTAYTATTAGTTAAATATTAATAAATACCCTAATTCAAATTAAATCTGATCAGAATTTAATTAATTGGTGGTACTTCTGCAGCACTTACATAGAGCAAAGGAGAACTGCTCAGTGGTTAATTTTTCATCCTTGCCAACCATTCTGTACAGCCTGGCTGGGGCCTCAAACCAAGGACATTGCTGTGGAGAAGACAAATCAGATTTGGGCTTTTGTTGTGTTTTCTTTTTTTTTTTAAAAAAAGAGGCTTTTCCTGTTTCAAAGCAGAAATGGTATTTTATTGATTTTATTTGATCCTGAAAAATCAAAGCATTACAAAGGTTATGTACAAGTATTTCTGGAAGTAAAAATCTGGGATCTGTTGCCAAGATTTAACATCTGTGTTTGCTGTCTTAACCACTGATACAGTAAATATGCCTGTATAAAATCTTGTGCGTAGCACCGTTCATTTTCTGTGTTGAGTKGTCTTAACATTACTTTACAGATGAAAATAATAAAGGCTTAGTTAATTCAACAGTGTGGAGGCAACTTTCATTCCAGTTCCACCAGCAGATCTCCTTCTCCAACGGTGTCACCAGCCTTGCAGTGCACAGCTTTCACCTAGGGTACAGAAACAGCAGATTTTAACYYTTCCTCWGTGGYSWGGTGAAATCAATGGCTCGGCTGACRTGGCTTGTATTGCACAGAGCACTGYRTCCRCATGCACGGGGCGATGGCCACTGTRCCAYGTGAGGACACCCCAGGGACACAGATCTGCCTGTGCTGCAAGGGCCTCGAGAGGCTGAGTGCTCCACCTCCAGAGCCCAGAGCTCRGMTGAGTTTGGAGTGCCAGTGCTTGACAAATGGTGTCCAACCCTGTCAGCTATTCAGGTACCTACCATTAGCTGGTTTGCTTACATCAGAGGTGCTTGAAGACCTGAGTGTCAGATAGAGATGGCACTTTTTTAAATTAAAAAGCACCTTTTTTTCACCTGGTTCTACTGCTGTTTGTTTTAAATCAGAGGACAGACTGACTCTTCAGCACTCACGCTGGGACGTTGCAATGAAATATTCCACYATTTCTTTCATTACAGTTTTTTAATATAGCTGTATTTTGGAACTGCAGCCATGAAGGGGGTTTCTCTCAATCTCCAGAGAGTTAGGATAGATGATTCAAATCTGAATTGGGATCCTTAAACATAACTGAACTTGGCAAAGGGCTACCATTGTCAAATAAGTACAGCTATGTCTGCAGATGAATTACATACTCATGCAGATTCCTGAATTTAAAACACAAATATCTTATACTAGTCCCTCATTTCCTCTATAAAAGGCTGCAACATGTTTGAATTCCCTTTCAGCAAACGGAGCAACAGAAAATATTTGAAGCTGTGTAGAGTTTGCTTCCAGTATTAATTCAGAGCTCACACTGACATGCCCAAATCCTTGTTCAGCTCATTCCAATCATCCAGACACTACACTGGGCTCCTGAAGCAAATCCATAGCATACCCCAAGTACCAGGCTGTGATGGACTTACTATTGTCCACATCCAGGTTTGACAGTCTAAAGCCACTGAGCTGTARGCAGATCTGTGGCTCCATAGAAATGATGCTGAGCACGGGCAAAGACAGCGTGATACGTACAAACAGGGGCTTCATTTCTAAATGGCAGCTCGGAAGCGAACCCAATTGCTGAGCCTCAATCTCCTCACGGATGAATGCAGTGAGAAAAACATTCTACCCCTTGCTTTTCTTTTTCTACAAAGCCAAGGTTCAGCAAACATGGGAGCTAAGCAGTGTTTCAAACTCCCCACTGATTTCTGCTGTGCAGCGGGGCCGGCTCCTTGTGCTGACCCAGGCACAGCTGTGGTGTRGAAGACAGGAGGCTCGCCAGTTCCTCTCCAGCTTTCTCTCATTTTTAAACCACCTGCAGCTGGAGTAAACTCAAAGTAGATAAAAACAAGCCACTTTTCTCACAATTGCAAACAGGAAGATGGGGTTTGATACAGAAAAAGAATTCAAGGCAGGAATGAAAATGTGAACGTCTTCCAACTGAAGACAAATGAACTGAGTTTCAAAACAGTTTCAAAGCATSAAAACATGGACTAACAGCCTGTGCCAAACATCCCATTCCTGTGGAGAGGCCAAGTTATTTTAGCACTCAGAGCCATGACTTTGCACTGCAGAACAGGATGAATTCTGTTCAGCAGCTTCATTTCTACACAGCCCAAACCTTTTGTGCTTATTCAAATTCTTAATATTCTAAAGATTTAAAATGGGCACACCAAGGGGACATTGCAAGGTGCACAAGGCCTACTGAATGGCCTGTGCACCTTTCACATCCTACCTTGAAGGATTAATAAACCAAATACACGTTGTGGACAGCATCTGTACTGAGTGGGAAATATTTATTATTGGGAGAAGTATAAGCAGGATKGTAAGGAACAGGCCCATGGATTGCAGAACACCTTGGTGGGAAAGGGCAAGTTAAAAATAAAGGGGGTAGGTAGAAGAGGGAATGGCATTTTAATAATAAATACTAGTTAATCCAGTGGATGCAAAGAGCAGCAATAAGGAGTCCAAGAAGCACAGATGAAAAAGTAAATGCTTGGAAATATTAATCAAGTGAGAAAATAAATTATACAGAAATTAATGCATGAAACAAAATAATAAAGTGGCAATGCTAGCACAAAAAGAAAAGGAACATACTCCTTCTCTCAGTGTTTTTTTCTCTTGAGACCCAATTTTGCGCTGGATGTACTGGAAGAGTCAAGTCCTGGGACCCAGCCTCAGTGACAAWTTCAGAGCTGTGCCAAGTAAGCCTTTCTTGTAAACACACAAACAGTCCTTGGCATTGAGAGCCATCCTGAGCTCTCAGCGAATCTTGCCAGTGGCAAACCCCGTCCGTGCCCGCAGTCCGGCTCCCTGCTGCCTCCCTGCGGGTCCTGCCCTGGGCTCTGCTTCAGGGACAGCACAGGGGCTTGACCCAGGCACAGATGGGCCAGGGCAGATTAGGAGACAGCAACAGAAGAGAATATATAATCCAGATCCAGACTGTGCTCTCCCATTGGAAAGGATAGATCTGGGGTCCATGTCTAGGCAATGGTTTCAGGCTGTGAATTATAATCTGGCACAGGGATGCTCTGAGGTCCCAGCTTGAGGTCTGACAGTCCCCAGACCAGCTGGGGTTTAGGGCATGCCCTTGTCACATAAGCTTAACCAATTCCCTGCCCAGAGTGCTGGTTTTGGCACATCCTACACTGCAGGAAAGTCTCAACTCCACAGCTGCAATGTTGATCCCTCAGAAGAAAGATATCACAGTGCACAGCCTTGCAAAGCTTTACAAATGTGCAGMTCTAGGCTTGATATTTAACAGTCATAATGATAAAAAAATCGCTGTTTTCTCCCTCCTGCAAAAGCATTTTCTATGGCTTGTTCTGGGTRGGATTTTTTAATGTCAAATTGTTTGCCATTAAATAATTAACTGGCAAAGAGATCTTTCTTCAGTTGCTCTCTGGAAAAATGAAATTTGGAGAAATGGTCTGCAACACCTTTCAATTCAAMT